GCAACAGGGTCACCGGTTCGATTCCCACATGGGCCAGTGAACTGCTCCAGAGCTGAGCTGCTGCTGAGCTGCCAACAGGTGGCAGGATGGCTCAGGTGATGAGAGCACGTGTTCCTAACTACAAGGTTGCTGGTGAGACTTCCGCATGGGATGGTGGGCTACACCCACCCACAACTAAGATTGAACAGGGCACCTTGACACTGTTCCCCTTCCCCAATAAAAATCTTAAAAAAAAAAAAAAGGAAGTCATGTCAGAGGGTGGATGAGGTAGATAACTGCCAGGTATTTTCAATTCAGATATAAAGACAGAAGGTAGATGCAGTTCTGGGAATCCTCTGATTATAGCCTGTAAGCAGGAAAAGATTTTCAAATGTGAAGGACCAAGATAACAGTCCTTCCTGGATCCTTTAAGGCAAAAATTATGATTTCTTTATGTTGCAAAACTACTCGAATGTAGGTCCTAATTAAAGGGAGGCAGGTTCTGCTGGGAGAGTTTCAAAGGTCAAAAGCAAATAATGGAACACCTGGGATGGCAGATTTATGAGACACACTCTTCAGTGAAACACAAAACCTCTAAAGACAGGGGAAAAGAAGGGAAAGGGACAGGGGAAACTAGTCGCCTGCATGTCACACTCTTTCGTTTCTGGCAACACTTTGGGTCTCTTTTGTGTGCTTCCTACTGAGATCCCCTTCTCACCTTCTTCCGGCCTAAAGAGAGACGCACTGCGTCTCTGCACGCCATAGCAGTCATCGGTTTCCTTTGTCTCTTATCTCAGTGGAGATGCAAAAATGAGTTTTTCAAAAGGAATTTTACCAACTAATAGAACTAATGGAACTGAAACATGAAAATTTTTTCACTAAGCACAAAGGTAGAGATTCTGACCTGAATTTATTGAGGAAAAATGACTACAGTCAAGTATTTCTTAACTGATGATTTAATAGACTTACCAGATACACACTGAGTCACCGAATGCCCACAACCAGAGGTACTGCTGCTCCCTCAAGTTAAACCGTTGGCTTACCAGCAGCCCCTTGTGTTTATGCCTAAATTTGTGTATCACATTATGTCCTTAATTACATGTTATATAATTTGATAAAATACTTAGGAAAACTGTTAGAAATCTTAAACAAAGGCAAATTACTAAGAAATATGCTGGGACAAGACTGCTATAAAACACTGAGGAATAAGAAAAAAACATTTAAAAAGTTCTGCCCTTTTATATATATGTAGCCACAGGATGTGAAGTACAGCATAGGGAATAGGGTCGATGGAATTGTAACAGCTATATATGGTGTCAGAGGGATGGTAGATTGGGGGAGGAGGGTTATCACTCTGTGAGG